GAGAAATTTTGTACCAAAAGGTAACTATCAAGTGTAAGGACATGTGTTGAATGCTTTGTCTGTTGTTTAATGTAGCGAGAGTACAAATTTAAAAGAATATGTTACTTTGCAGCATATGATTTGAGGGAGAAATAAGCCAAATTAAGTTATGGTAAATCTCTGATGATTCTACATTTTCAGGTTATAATGTTAAAAAATCATACAATAGACAATACCATTGTTAATCAACATTCATGTAGTATAAATTACTCTGTATATTTCTTCATACAAATAGGCCTACAGATCAGCATTTGACATCCTTGGTACTCTGCAAATTTAAAGCTTAACCTGAGAAACTTTACTTTGCAGATTATTCATTGAAATGGATTTGCAAAAAAAGTTCCCAAACACTGAACACCTTAAATGCCCTCTCTCTTCTGATTTTTACACAGACATTTTCCAAGACATGTATATTTAGATATATAGAACGGCATTGTGTTGATAAACCCTCCAAATGTGCAGTATGCTTTGAAACCTTTATAAAGGATCCAGAAGATATGAAATCGAATACCTACCTGGAAAACATGATCCATCTGCTCAAAACACAAACGGATTGCACAGATGAGGTTTGCTCTTCTTGCAAGCTCTCAGAAGATATAAGATCAGCAGTCTCTCGATGTCTTACAAGTTTAGATTTTCTTTGTGAAGAGTGTGAAACATCAAGACACACATTTACCACCATCACTAGAGACCATAAAGTAGTACCTTTGACAGAGGCATGGACAGGGCAACGCAATGATACAATAAGATCCCTACAGTATGTAGAAAACTGTCCCTTGCATACAAACGAGGAGCTGCAATACTTTTGTAACCCTTGTGAATCAACAGCATGTCGTGATTGCACAATATTGGAACATTAGTCTTGTGTCAGATGTAAGAAAAGAAAAGGAAAATATGATAAAACAATTACATAGTGTATTGACATTGAGTGTCTAACTTGGAAAAAAACCAAGAGTTAATAAAATCAGAACAAGGTAAAATTGTTTCAATAAAAACGCAAATGCAAAATGATATCACAAAAAGGTGTTAAGGGACTGTGAGTAAATTACACAAAGGAATGAATAAAACACCGAGAGAGCTTCGCAGTACAGTTAAGGTGACGAATGGAAATATCGGCGAATTTTTTATATAGAAAATACATTCTTTACAAGGATGGGTGATTCTTCCTAGGACTTTACTATTATCGGACAAATGTAATATGGTTGAAAACTACACGTTGGGTACGTAAGATTTCTTATCTAGACTTGTGACGTAATGTGGCAGTCACGTGATTTTAGCAAATATACCTGCAGTATTGAGGTCATCTATAAATTCCAATATTGCAAGGGCATAACCAAGTTAAAAATCTAAGTTTAATTTTTAATTATTTTCAACACTCTTTGTAGTTTGTGAAAAGTGCTGCTAACCTATATAGATTTCTGCTATATAATTGCTAAAATTACGTTTGTTAGACTGTATGTTGAATATTTTGCTGGTCAAGTACATTAAATATAGATATAATTAATTCATTTGCAAGATTTCATCAGGTTCGCAGCACTTTTCAAATATCTTCATATCTCTTGAGTTTATGTGTAAAAGCTTGTCATAATTCATTGAGGGTATGCCCTTGCAATATATCGATTTATTACGACCCTTCTATTACCCTTCAATGTATCTGCATACAAATATTCGGCAGTATCGCTTGTCTAGGAAATGTACGGGAAGTATATGAATAAAATTATAAAATAGACATCGCATCCAAGTTAATGGCATCTTATATATCTTCAAATATATTTTATTTAATTACAAAATACATTTTTCATTGTGTAAAATATAACTTGATCCGCCTCTCACTGCATACAAACTGCGTCAAATTTTACGATATGACGTCACATTGACAAGTGCATTGCAATCAATGAATTGTTTATATATTGCTGTGTGGGATTTAACCAAAGACAAAAATACATGCAATAGTAAATATTGACGTAGTTTAAAGCTATCCAACAGTTTAAAATAGCAAATCGTTTCATTTTGTGGTAATTTGAAGAACATCTAATTTTGTGTGATGTCATAGTAAGCATTTCCCGTTAAAGTTAGGCCCCGCCTCCTTATTGCAGCCTTAACTGTGCTGCGTTGAGAAAATTATGACACCAAGAACAGAGTCTCTTATAAGCGAATTTGAGAGGATATCCAGGTTTTGCAGAAATATAGGAGAATCTTTAAAGTTTTCTGAAATGATACAAAAAGGAAATGACTGTTAAGTTGTACATTTACTGAATGAAATTTACGAAAGATTTGAAAATCTTGCAAAATCAGATATTTCAGATAATTGTCTGATGGAAGACATGCCAAATTTAACGATTCAGATAACAGAGCCACAAGTATAACTAATAGTAAACAAAGCCCAATCACCATTAACGCCTGTAAAAAGGGCACTGTTGAAACGTGTATTTTAAAAGATTCCAATGAAAATGCAAACCTGTCTGATTTCGTAAATTATTCAAAAGCAGTGCAGACACAGAAGAAGACTTTGAAATTAGAAGAGAAAATAAGGGAATCAGACAGAGAAAATATAAAGTCAAACTGCTGAGAAGATTAGATTTAACAGAAAAAGATGATAAGCATAAACCAACTTATAGTGGGATAGCATGGATAGATGAAAAACTAATGCAAAAATCAAATTGGTTTCACTTTCATCTGGCTCAATATTGAAATCAGTTCGAGGATACCAGCCGCTAACTGTTTCTGTTTGGAGAGAAGGAATAACTTGTTTGTCGCTAGACTATCAAATGACATTGTTTAGTCGAGATTTCGTTGTCCAGAATATCTACTCTGTTTGCATCCCTTCCAAGTTTGAATCAATTGATGTGGACTGCAAAATCGGCAATTTATTTTCAGCGGAAAAATGTAGTGACAGAAATACCCTTAAGAGACATACCTCCTACTCCCTTTTTTTTACGTTATGCTTGCTGTCTGCCAAATGGATTATATGTCGTTTCAGACACGGTAAACATTTGTGTTTATTTGTTTAGTATGAATGGTGAATTAATCGAAACTTTGTATTGTCATCCGGGATCAATATCTTTTGATAAATACTATAATATATTTATCTATCCATCGCCGTTTTCGACACAGAAGGGAATTATAAAGACAGCTTGCTTGTAGAGGACAGACCCAGAAGTATCTCTATTTTGAATGATAAATTACTCATTGCAACTGACAAGAATAATGTTTTATTGTATGATATAGTTTTTACATGAATAACTTACAACGCATAAACTTGTGTGATTGAAAAGAATAGTGTGTAGTCGATATTTGTAATCTTACTATCTTCCTTTTTTCACATGAGGACTGCATTTAACTTTTACTGACTGTAAAGTTGTATATTAATGTTTCATCAAAAATATGAAACACCAGAGAAAGAAGCAAGATACTATGGGACTCATTGGTAGTGTATAATGATAATACATTGAAATCATTACATCTTTTCAGGATAATGAGGTGTAATGAGGTGTAATTGATCAATCTTTAAAATACAAGTAATTGAATGTTAAATGAATTACTTTTAAGAAAAAATGTCGGTAATGACCATTACTTTTCCACTACTTTTCAATTACAATTCGTATTTTCATGTAGTTTTTATATGCTGCTGCTGTGAGACTGTTTTAAGACATTAAGACATAAAATTGTAAACTTTCAAAAAGAGGCCATAGTAGCCTTCTTTGGGATTTTGATACATTACCTCATGATGTATCAATTGGCATGTCCTTGTTATTAGAAAGATATCACCCGGACACAGTAACAATCACTAAGATACATGTACACCTTATGTCACTTACTAGTTTTAGCCTTCAAATACCCCTTTGTGAAAATATTCTTTGCAAAAATCTTAGCTTACAGGTAACAACATATATAGTTACTAGGTTATTTCTGGCAAAATGACCAGTGTAAGAAACACATTGTAATGGGACAGCATTCACCTTGATCGTAATTTTTTCACCAGTGTGGCTGCAACTTTGTAGCACATGTTTATAATGTGTACTACCAGCATGTAAAACAGACCGTGGTAAGTTTTGGTTTTTATTTAATGTTTTTTAACATTCGTCCAATAAAGTCACCTTGGTAGGCACTCATCAATGACATACTTATGTGTTTGTTCAGGTGTGACGTTAGGGATAGTGTTTGAATAGATTTATGTTCTAAATTCACAGTTCAACCGAACATAAATTATTTATAAAATAAAACTCAAACACTTTTATATAGGATGAGCTAGCATGCGCGAGTGCAACAGACTTTAATGAAGTGTATACAGTATACAAAGCAGTCTTTAGTTTGACTTCTTATCCATATCATTCTACAAAAGAAAAAGACTCAAATAAAGCAACAACATCAAAAAGAACAAAAACATGTACAAAATATTGATACTAGAAGGGGTGGGGTTGGGGTGGAGGATTAGTCTGTTGCAATGTAGCAGCGAACTTCGAATGACTTAAAACATCCGAAAATCTACCTTATACGTGACTGAATCATGCGTAGTACGGATTCAACCTATTCACCCATAAACAAAATGAACAACCAATCGATCTCCTTTACCGATGGACCTATTCTGCATACATAACAAACACACGTGTTTTACCGTAACTTTTATAAATATATTTTCTTTGTCAAGACGTTTTATTATCAATCCAATAACAGCGTGTCACTTTGCTTGATCAACCGTAGTAAAATTTCACAAATTGATTACCATACTACTCATCGATTGGGTGTTTGATTTCAATGAAATCAATACTAATTTGCATATGAAACCAGAACCCAGCAACACCACTGACACATGGAAATCAATTTGTGAAATTTTTATTTTTATCAGATATTGTAGATATTGTAGAATTTAAGTTTGTTGAAATCTAACACCTGGGGTAGGTTGACGAAACAACAGGGATCAAAGTTTTTCATAGGAATTTATAGTAGAAAAAAATCTGATGATGAAGAACAACTGGGATATATCGACTCAGGTAAGCGTCGTGTCCCATGGACCTCTTGTTATTTAAATGAATGAGCGGAAGTAAATGACCGGAAGTATGGTCTGCCATTTGTATCGATGTCAAGTGTACTTAAGTTTTTCATTGAAATAACATTTTTTTTTTGGTACGATCAATTGAGTGAGAGTGTGATCGTGTGAATTATTGATTATCTTCATTTTCTTTTTCTGTCTGTCCTTTTGAAAAGAAATTCTTAGTTTTAATTTGTAAAGGGCGACTAGCTTATTTTCGTTACACACACGAATTGATTAAGAATTAGTTATAGCAAGTACAGCATTCCAAAATGGGGTTATACTGACCTAATTTGTTTTTGCTACACATCGTTTTAACGAGAATAATCAAGTTTCAAGGTTTCATAATCCTAGGCCAGGCAGAGTAAAACATATTTTCCAGGCACGAAATTGAATATGAATTTAAAAAAAACATTAAATTCCATAATAAGGCCCAAAAGCCATGGTAACCTTTTTTGGATTGAGCCACAAATGTTCCCCAAAATGCATCAGGTGACCAAGCATCACAATGTAAAATATATGACCAAAGCAAGCAAAAGTTGACAGACAGACGAAGGGATATACAGATGGACGGACGGAAAAATCCATGCTATAATACGGCCTGTACTTTAAAAGGGTTCTTCAGAGCAAAAAGGTCATGTTGGTCATTTATAAACATTAAAACTCTCAAAGAACGCGGGCACCTTAGATTGGCATTCGGCAGAAATCTAGGCACACTTGACAAGTGAAAATTTCATTGACATGTCACATGAGATGTTTGCATTCTTTTGAGGTGTATCGGGTTCCTGTGAAATGGGAAATGGAATTATTTTCCCGATATTGTATTTTGATTTGCTAAAAAAGAACTTGAAAATTGGCTAGATGAGTCATTTGGTACAAAATGTTACAATTTTTTAAACACGTTTATCTAAAAATTTGCCATCTCTGGGTCATCTCTCCATAATTTAAAACGTTTTTTGCGTGCATTTTAATTAAAAGAAACAGCAAACATTTTTATATTACGGAGAGAAGACCCAGACACCATAAAAATGAACTTTTTTCAAAAAAGTCCCATTGTGTAAATGTGGTTCTTCATTGTCGTTTTCAAATCCATATGCCGTATGTAGCGATGATAGCTAAGTAGTATGCGTAACCTGTCCAGCGCACTGGAACTGGAAAGTTTTGGTTCGATCCTCGCATGAGACATTATTTTTTTTTAATGCAATCAATCAATTCCTTTGTCAGTTTAATTTTATTTACTGATTTATTAAGATTTTTAATTAGATAAATTTTGGTTCAGTTGCACCGAGAACGAAGGCAATTCTTCCTTCCTACTGAATCTTTGATATACACTAACTATACCCTATTATCTTATAGGTTTTTATAGTCACTGTGTTACTATATTATCGTAACTATTAAAATAAGCGGGCTTAAATGTAACAATCTGACAAGGTATTTCAAACTAAATGTAACATTGTCTTATGCTTGTATGTGCGTAACTTTGTGAAGTCTGTCCAGCTGTGGTAGGCCGACCAAATCAATGACATTTAAGGACTAATGACCCTCTGCTCCAAATTTCACGATTTTTTTTTAAACTTCCCAACACTGATTTTCATCAAGAGCTATAGCATCAAAATCAAATGAAAAATAGTATGAGGTATGAAGCGCTGCTTATTTTTTCAGAAATGATTTTTATGTCAAATCATAATAGAAAGAAATTTTAACACAGAGATTAGAAAGATTAATAATTTATTATCACAACATAAAATTAGAAATATGCGGTGTATATGAAAATAACATTTAGTGTCATACCTACTAAATTCCCAAGTCAGAAAATCACAATGTTATATGTGGGTGTAAGAAAACAATACATCTGTTAGCAAGAGTTATCTTTCTTATGAATATTTTTTCATTGGAAAAAAATGTAATACTGATAAAAATTCTATATTTGGTGCTTGATACATTAAACCATTGAACTTATTCAATTTTTAAGGGTTTAAAAACTGGATTTAAATGGGTTTTTTTTTTGGTCAAACATAATAAAACAATTTGAAAAGTACAGTCAAAGGAAATATAAGGTAGTGTTTCCATCATACGTTAAGTTTGATCGAATTGACTGCTCAAAGGTCTCGATAATTAAACTCTGATAAAGTAAACTGAGTAATACTAGGATATTTTACTTGGAAAGTTATCTCTCTTATCAGAGGGTCGGTCCCCCTTAAACTATAAATGTTTCGTACACATGATTCCTGCAGATCACACGCCAAATACGCCCATCTTCTTTTCTGTGGTTTCAAGATTGGTTACATCAAGTCCCTTGAGACGAGAGAGAAGCCACAATATGGGGGTGAAATTGTTCATGGAAAAAATAGGGAAATATCTTTAGGATTCTAAAACACATGACCTACGTGACGCAGGTAATTATTGTTGCCCATGGGCCCCTTGTTTCAATTTTATTTTAGCCATTCATTATAATGCGGCTTTAAAATTTTTAATATTTTTAAAATTTTTAATATAGATATTATTTAATGATATTATCAATGAAAATGGCGAAGATAAAGAACAGTGAACAATATTTTAAATTTAATAAATAATTTATTAAATTGAAAAAAAGGTTTTCGGGCTCATTGAATCTCTGAACAGAGAGATACCTCTCACTGGAAAAAAATATACGTAACATGTAATATGATATTTCGTTGTAAACTTATCACACTAAAAGTACTTTTCTGTCGAATTTCGCCCTGCAAGGTGTAGTACAATGGTGTGCATTCTAATAATAAATTGTATTTCTTTTGGAAAATATTAAGTATACTATAATAAAATTTATTTGACTGAACAGAGGTATGATGAACCTTAAATACGGACGCTAGAAACATCAGAGGTGGGATCAAGTGTCTAGAAGGAGGAAATAGCCCCTGTTGACCTGTCACACCTCCCGTAACTTTTTGTATGTCTCATATAAACGGGAATAAACCGTATTCAATTTGGCGTGAAAACAATGGCAAAACAATTACTTGAACCTAACGATAGCACTTGTTTGTTAGAAAGACTAGCGATTACAGAATTTGTTAAATACTTATTTTAAACGAGCCTGTTGAAAGCTTTGTAATATTGGTAGCTTACTTTGCGCTCTCCTGTGGTTTGAATCATATTTGATTTACGTTTGTATGAATCTTGATGTTTTAGTTCAACCTTTTGGCCAAAAAGGGACCGGAGGAATGAATTTAACGTATATTACTTTTATTCCTAGATTTTACATACTAAATTTGTTCAAAATTTATTCGACCGCTTTAGGAAAAGATAAAAATGTTAAAAACTTTACGTTTGACGCATAGCGACGGACAAGCACCGAAAGCAGAAAGCAATATCACCATTGTTGCCAGGGTGACTTAAAATTGTGATTCGAAGTTTAAATAAAATTTTTAATTTGGAGTTCCTTTCCTGTGTTTTGTTCTCTCTCTCTCTCACCTTTGGACTTTATAAATCTAGTGTTTGTGCATACGTAGATAATAAGTGCAATACTCTACATGGTTTCATTAATATTCATCGGCATCAAATTTCGTGGATTTAGTAAAAATCACAGTTTCGAGGATACGTAAATTAGTGGATAATGATCCTAACAGGAAAAAATTATCTTTTCATTTTTTTTGGTCGCCGTATGCTTTAGCGGGAACCTTCATGCCATTTACAATGTTAAGAGTACGTAAATATTTGAAAACAATCACTAATAGGTGAAAACTCTTTGATTTATTTTTTTTATATTTTACCCATCTGTATTTTTAAAAGTCGGAACCTTCAAGCGTTTACAACGCAGTATATATTTTATATAACAATAAAGGGTGAAGTATTCAATACCGTCTCCAATATAACACTATGAGCTCCATTAAATATCGGATATTGAAACAGATTATTAAAACAATTAATTAAATAGACTTTAATCAACGTGAAAAAGACATGCAAGTATCTCAAAATATTAAGCCAATTTGAATTTTAACTTTTAGGCGCTCATACGGACGATAATTAAGTGTGGCAACAGGATATTAAAAGTAATTATAAAATGAACATTAAGTATTTCAATTTACAAAATGGTGTTAGATAAGTATTTTCAAATGCACGGCGTGTGTTACTAGACTTGACAGAGACATCCAGACCCCCTTGTTTGTAGATCCCCGAACAAACACATCCACGCTCACTGGATACTACTTCCCAAAATGCAAATGCAAAATAGACGACAAACGATTAAGCCGTGAATGGCTTCCAAATGGCAGGACTTTCTCAACATACAAAATTACCCGTTATCTCATGTTAAACAAAAAATATGTTTCTAATTAAACAAACAGATAAAAGTAAAATTAGCATTAAATTGTGTTGATAATTTGTATGAATTTAGCCTGTTTTGGAGAGAAAGTAATTAATTATTTCTACTGGAATTTTTATTTAACGAAAATCTGTTGTTTTTCATTGTGCGGGTGATAATGGGGATTGGACCATTAGATTGTTTGAGAATAACAAATTTAACACATTTACGCCAGATTATCATCCTTTTTGGGTAATACCACTAATTGGTATAATCAGTATGCACCGCATTGACGGATTTACGTGTTGTTTGTTTATCTCCGTGCAGAATATTTAAATATTTTTACTAAAAATGTCCAGATAATTATCTAAAATTATTTCTTCCTCTTTTTTTATATTCTTAAACTGACTCAAGTACGTTTATAAAGTCAACCTGTTGGGAAAGGGGGGGGGGGGTATTTGCATATTAGTACGAAAGTCGGGTTTTTAAAAGCTTTTTTATAAATAAAAATGGAGGCACCAAACTTCGATGAACATTTGATTTCGTGGATCTAATCGACAACGAAATCCACGAAAATCGGTGTTCCACGAATAATGATAAAACCACAGTATTTACATACAAAAAATAATATGTTTCATGGTTACAAACATATCTTACCTTCGCCAAATGGAAAAACACAAATAAGTGTAGAAATATATAGAACGCCGGGACTGTCTTATATGAGGATTCAACATTATATGCAGTGTTCTCTTCATTATATGTGGTACTATTTTGATTATATGAAGTAGTTTTTACAGTATATTGTGTGCAACTCCCATTATACACAGTACTTCTTTCATTATATGATGTAGATATGCCATTATGTTATGTACATCTATCATTATATGAGGCGTTTTATCATTATATGAAGTGCTCTTAACATTATATCCGGTGGATCTAACATTATATGCAGTGAACACAACAATATATTATGTACTTCTCACATTATATACAGTATATTCATGATTATATGTAGTATTTCTGTTATGATGATGCTGATCCTTAAATATTATGCCCGGTCCTGTTAGCGTTCCGTGCGGTAGATTTTGAATTTCGTTATGATGTAGACACAGTATCACATGCGGTGCTCTCTTCTTTATGTGTATGATCTTTCGGAAGCTACCTTTCGGAACCCCTCTTGTTAAATTTAGAAAGTTCTACCTTTTTTGTTCTTAGACAGTGACGTAGCTAGAACTTTAAGGAAGTATATGCACAAATTACGATGAGAGTACTGGGGGCCACTCAAAGCCCCAGCGGGTCCAGGGCAGGACCCTGCTAGGAGAATTTTCATAATTTTCGACGTAATCAAATTTAGAACATGAAAAAGAAATTTATTTAAAAAGTATTCAAAAATAATCAGATAAAAAAATCAATATTTTGCAACAAAATAATGAACAAATTTAAGTTTGTTCAGAAAAAAGCTAGTTTATCCACAAAGATTAGGTAAATTCGGGTGGGGAGCCATAAAAAAAATTAATTGTTGTCAATTCAAGTTAATTAATTATTAATTTAAAAATATACAATTACGCCACTGTTAGATATGAAAATTCTTAATGATTTTAGGTTATCTTTAATAATATGGTAATCAACCACACGTCGGCCAAAGCATCGCGGAATAATCACATAAAAAACAACATTTATCCTTAGATTAAAGGAAATTCGAAGTCATATCAATACTTCAGTAGTTTACAACGAGAGAGAGAGAGAGAGATGCACTTATTACTGAAATAATTTTATTGTTCCATTGTATTGTTAAACTATGGCGTATAAAAAAATTGTTGAAATTGTCTTTAGTTATACTATATGAATGTTATGTAATGTATCAGGAAAAGATAAACGATTTTCAAAACAGAAAATGTATTGAGTCTTGGGTTGTACTTCAAGATTTTACTTCTAAAAATATATGTGGTAAAATTGAATACAATATATATATATATATATATATATATATATATATATATATATATATATATATATATATATATATATATATATATATATATATATATATATATATATATATATATATATATATATATATATATATATGTAGAACCCCCTCTACCAAATAAAATGAGAGTTAAAAGTGTATAATGTACATTGTGAAAATTTAGCACATCCCACCCCTAAAAATGAACAAACAAATATATGAAAAAATAAATAAATACATATAGTGTTTTCTATAAGTCGTTGTTTAAGCCCTGCTTTACTCGAAGGCATAGGAATGCAGTTAGTTTTTGACATTGATTGTCCTATATATGAAATGAATCTTTTTGAATGTCATATTGTTCACAAAAAAGATAGAAAATGCCTCAATTTTTTTCCACTCCCAAAATATTTTTATCATACCCCCCCCCTCTCTCTCTCTTTTCTTCATACCATGAAATAGAATGGATTTTATTTTACTCTATTACTTCATATCTTTAAAAACATTTTAACCTGTTCACGGAGCATTACTTATTAACTGCTTTAAAGTATATACGCATGTTTTTATTGTACTGAGGTCGGAGTTCTCAAGGTCGATAAAAAGAAGAACAGAATTTTTAACAGAGAGTTCCGAAAGGTAGCTTCTGAAAGATCATACACATATAGCACTGGTTCTCTGCCCTTGATTCCAGTCGCTGCCGCTAGGAATAACACGTTTTTTAGGGCGCTTGCGCCCGTTAACCAATGTCAGGGTACCAGTCTTATACACATAAAGAAGAGAGCACCGCATATAATACTGTGTCTACATCATAACGAAATGCAAAATCTACCGCACGGAATGCTAACAGGACCGGGCATAATATTTAACGATCATCATCATCATCATAACAGAAATACTACATATAATGATGAATATACTGTATATAAAGTGAGAAGTACATGATACATGTATATTGTTGTGTTCACTGCAATATGATGTTAGATCTACCGCATATAATGTTAAGAGCACTTCATATAATGATAAAAACACCTCATATAATGATAGATGTACATAACATAATGACACATCTACATCATATAATGAAAGAAGTACTGTAAATAATGGAAGTTGCACACGATATACTGTAAATACTACTTCATATAATCAAAATAGTACCACATATAATGAAGAGAACACTGCATATAATGTTTAATCCTCATATAAGACAGTCCCGGCGTTCCATAGAAATACATCCATTTTACATTCTATTCAAGTATATCAAAAAATATATTTAAGGTTTCCCCCTTTTTACATAAATAGCATTATATGAATTACCTATTTGCTTATGTGTGATCTATTTTTAACCATTTTCAGAATATGCCTGCGCATTTTAAATTGTTATGTTGATTTCGTTGTTACTGGTAATACAACATGTGTCTCAAGTTAAATCAATGATTGCACACGATAAATCTTCACAGAGTGAAAACTATTACTTTCTTCATTGAAATTTCTCACGATGTCAGATGATTCATTCACTGAGAAGGACAATCTTTTAACGAGCGAAAAAAGAGGGGGAAATTGTATAGAAATTATAAGCCTTAACGAAACATTTAACATAACACGTGAATCTGACCCTAACAGCCTTCAAAATGATCTCAATAGTGAAACCAGTGTAAAAACTCCATGGGAATGTACATCAGACACTAAGGAAGAAAGGATTTTTTTATCCTAATGGAAAGAAAGTGGAGCTTCCCCCAGGTAAAAAATATCATCTATTTATTTCATGTTCCTCAAAAGATATCCAAAAAGTAAATAAAATATGCGAAGAGTTGGAGAAGAGATTCTTCTTCAGATGCATGCAGTTTGACAGAGATTTCGTGCCCGGAAAACCTTTGGATGACAATATCAAAACTGAAATGGGAAAAAGCGTAAAAGTTTTAATTGTGATGAGCCCTGCTTTTATGTAAAGGAGAAAGGCCGAAAACTGTCCACTCTGCGAGAGAAAGAACTAATCGAGGGCCGTAGGCCCGAGATTAGTTCTTTCTCTCACAGAATGGACAGTTTGAGGCCTTTCTCCTACTTAAAACATGATTTCCTTTGTTCTGAAAATTAAATAAAAATGTACAAAATGACAGCACACATACGATGACAAGTTCATTGTTTACGGAATGGACAGTCACAGGTAAGCTAGGGATGCAGAGCAATTTGTTGAATAGCAATTGTGTTTCCAGATGCAAATAACAAAAGGTCTTTGTCTTAAGAATGGACAGTTACAGGTGGATTTTGTGGGATACTAGTATTTATACAAGTATGCGATGCTTCAAAATCAGTTTACAGTTTGCGTTGTAAAGGCATACATGTTTTCCTGTGATGGAGAGAGTATATGAGAGAATCAAAATCTAATAAACCAAAATATGCGCAAAATTAGTGATATTTGGATCTGGAAACAGAAAAGAGTAAAAGAAATACTACCCAAATTTTGACCCAAAAATGAACGTCGACGACAGATACAGATGATCAAATTCGAATCAAACTTGGAAATGTTTTATTTGAATTCTATTTTTGAGGATATATTAACTGCAGCAGTGTAATGGTGAGATGCAAATTGTGTTCTGAGTGTTGGATTACCCATTATGAGCCGATCTTCGACCTGAAATGTTTTTCAAATCATATTTGGAAATGTTTCATTTTTATTTATTTTCTACCGAAATATTAACTGCAGCAGTGTAGTGTTCATGGTGCAAACAGTTTTCTGGGGTGGAGAATTTAATATTAGACGTACTTCTATTTGAAAATGAATTCTCCTCGAGGGAATGATTTTTACGAAATTTTAATCAAATGTGAAATTGTGTCATTTGAATTCAAGTTTTGTTAAAATTAAGTTTTGAGTATTGAAATAATGTGCATTACTCATGGATTTAAAAGAGTAAAATCGAGTGGATGCTGTGCAGACATTGTGTTCTGGATTAACTTTGATTTCCACGTTCTTTTTGTTATTTACATGTAAATTAAAAAGTATTTAATGTATTTGTTTTTGTTTCCCTCTTGAATACATTCCAAAGTTTACCTGTAACTCTCCATTCTGTTTGTTTTAACTGTCCATTCTTTTTTGAAAAAAAACTGTCCATTCTTAAAAGAATGGACAGTTTTCCAAAAAGAATGGACACTTACAGGTAACTTAATGGATTGTTTGAGGAGTTAGCTAAACATTAAGCTATAGAATGGACAACACAAACAAAAGGTTTACGTCACAATCATGTTTTAATGAAAGTGACTGGTGTATGTCAGAGGCCCATGAAGCTATTGACTCTCTTAAGATTATACCTCTTCTACTGCACCCAATTGAGGATGAAAAATTTCCAATCTTTCTGAAGAGGTACAGATATATAGATGCACAGAAGGAAGAAGATGTACCTGCAAAGATAATGGACGCATATTATCATTCAGGTCTGAGTTGAATTACTACGTAAACTAAAAGATTTAAGGAATGAATTCAAGAGAACGGACCCAGGTTATACAATATAACTTTGCTTGCTTTTCAATTCATTCCTCAAAATATGATTTTCTTTTATCTGGTGTAAGAAAAGAAGATTAGTCGTGGAAATTGATTTCAATTTGTACAAATTTTAAATGTAACATCGGGTGGATTGATAATTTTTGGACGTACATGTAAGTCATTGTGACGTATGTTATAGAAGTTATACGATATAAAATTAATATTCTTGCCAATCAAATAGTGCGTTACAACCAGAATTAAATTATTAGATTGATTGATTGATTGATTAATTATTGCATAAAGCCGAGTCGGCAATATCTTCGTATATATCCGTATATTATTAGATAAATTATAAGATAACATTCCTAAGAGAATTTATTGATCAGCATCTAAAGTATCTAACACGTTAACAAACATGCTTTAATTATTTCAGAGGCTGTGAAAAGAATTGTAAAGCAAGGTGAACAAGGTATTTAAGCGTAAAACCGTATGCATTGTCATGCCATTTATGCTTATCAGTTGCAATAAAAAAATTAAATAAATAAAAAGAAGCCAGGTGATCCTATGGGGTGATATAAGCTATCCGTTTTCGTTGTCATCATGCATCATGTGTTGTTCATTATTATTATTTTTTAAAATATTGATTACACTCTTAACTTTCATGGCCTAATTTTAATGTATAACGTCTGTGGAAAAGAGGTGAATAAATTATTACCTTTTTAGTCTACCTCCAGCGTCTTAAAATGTAACCTAAAAAAACTGTACTCCTAGACTACCTACCCAGCAATAAAGTTTTACGATATCAAGTAAGCAGTAACCCTTTTATAAAAGTTTGATATTTGTATAAATATAATAATGTTAGATGCCCAAAGCCATTTATCAATCTCATATCTCATCCTTGGAAGGTAAATGTGAAATTCTAGGGGGTAAACTTAGACAAATGAGAACATTCTCGGAAAAATAAAAAAATATATATATAGTTCTCTATCAGAGTGTGATTCTGAATTTGACGTTAGCTTATTTCAATACTGTTCAGGTCATTTCTGTTTATACCTTGAATTATTAGCATAGCAGCAATGTAAACTCTGAATGATATTAGAGGTACTGTGAGCACTGAGCTCACAAATAATATCCCGCTCCCATATGATACAATGGCAAAGTCAATTTTTTGCTTTTGGAAAGCCCTATTATCTGTCTGATCAAAGCATAAAATAGGAGGTGCTCAATGGCACTATGTAATGAAGATTCTGTGAAAGGATCATTATATTTTATTCAGTGGTAAAGGAGGAGTTCCGGATAAGGGATGGGTATCTCGTTTATTAAAGAAAGAATGGAATTGTCCATGTTTTGCTATGTGAAACAGGAAATACATGTTCAATCAAAAAATAAAATAAGAGGTCACAATGGCACTGAGTAAAAGAGATTTTGAGAAAATCTCATTAGATTTAATTCAGTGGTATAGGAAGAGTTGCGGATAAGGGATGGATACCCCCGATTTTATAAAAAGAATGACCGTGTCCATGTTTACTATGGGAAACTCGAAATATGTGTCCAATCAAAAAGTAAAGTATGAGGTGCATAATGGATTACGTAATAAAGATTTTGTGAAAGTATCATTAAATTTTATTCAGTGGTACAGGAGAAGTTGGTATTAGAGACAGGTACCCCCAGTATTATAGAAAGAATGGCAGTCTATGTTTTTGCTATGGGAAACCCGAAATATATGCCCAATCAAAAAGTAAAATAGAAGGTCTACAATGGCACTGTGTAGCAAAGATTCTATGAAATCTCATTTTTGTTATTCAGTGGTATAAGAGGAGTTGCGTATAAGAGATGGGTACCCCAAAGCGTTAAGGACGGAGGAACATATGTACAGACGGACGAACGATCCGACACCAACACCACTAAACAATCCCCGCTTTTCAAGCGGGGGTATAATAAAGTGAACTATGAAGATAATAAACAGTAATTAGTAATCATGCTCAAAAGTCTATTGAAACGGTACAAATTTTGAACAAAGCAAACACGCACCTCTAAAAAATCAGAGGTGGGATCAGGTACTATGGAGGAGTAAGCATCCCCCTGTCGACCGGTCACACCCGCCGTATTCTCTTTGTCATGATCGGGTTAACAAAGAAATCCTAGTCAATTAGGTCTAACAATTTGTATGAAAGATGTCAGTCAACATTCGACCTAAGGACAGATTGTATTTGCAAACAAGATTATCGACCATAGATTTTGCGAAATGTTGACTTTAAAAGAGATTGTTGATTTCTTGTATTATCAACTTATTTGTCAATAGCTTACTTCGTTTAAAAAATATTCATAAGAACATGCTGTTGCGTATGAAATCAACTGTGAGACGAAACACTATCTGCATGTGATAATGGATATTGCTACAGAAATAAGGGAAGGTGACGATAGTCAAAATCATTACATTTATCATAAAGTTTAGTTGTAAGTTTGCCATCAATGTCTTTCGCTAGTAAGATATCCAAATATGAGGGAATGGTGTCAAACTCCGTGGTGTCTTTGATTTTTTTTTTTTTTGAGTAATATGCTTTATAACTTAAAAGGAATGTTAAAGATTTATTACTCACCTTAGGAGAAGGCTTAAATGAGCTTTTCTGATCAAAATTTGTCCAATGTCTGTCGTCTTAGGTGTAGTAGTCGGAATCACCGTGGTGAACTACTCACATTTTCATTTTCTTATTGGCACAAGGTATCTTTGCTTGAAGGAAAATTAAATTTGTTGAAATAAAGTGCAATACGTTCTTCCAATGGGAAATAATTAAGAAAAGACAATAAAGGGTTTATAAAATCTTCTTTTTAAGAAGAACTAGGCCAGAAAAGATGAAACTTATCTAGAAGCTTCCTGATATATTGTAGATTCAAGTTTGTTCAAACCATTGGCCTGCGATGAAGTAGAGCTACAATAGAGAAACAAAGCTTTACATAGGAATATATGAGACATTTAAAAAAAACTCCTTCTCAAGAACAACAAGGTCATGATTACTCATATTAATTTGCAAGCATCCTTGTGCAAATTCAAGTTTGTTCAGATTATGACGACGCCCCGGGGGTGGGGGTGGTAGGGTGGGGCCAAAACAGGATCAATGATCAGAGAAATATATAGGGAAACAATCTTAAAAACTTCCTCTCAAGAACAGGGTGGCCATGAATATTCATATCTGTTAAATATGCAAACGGTCAGGAAGTGGAGATTAAATTTTAATCACATTATGACCCTTGGGGTTTGGGTGGAGTCCTATTTAGGGATCAAAATTTCATTTTTTTTCCTGAAATTTTAAATAAGCAGGTGTCAATACATCAGAGCATGCTCTCAGTACGAACAATTTCTTAAACAAGGAAAGCTACTGATGAACAAGTTGATGAAATAAGGATATCAAGTCATCATTTCGCAAGTTCTATGGTCGAAACAATGACCTTGTCAGCAATACCATCTATCATTAAGTCAAATACTAACTGACGTTTTTCATGCTAATTATTAGGCCATTATTTAAACACTGAATTATCTACGGATATTTTCCGATTTTCCCGATCATGACAAGGAGCACATGGCGGGTGTGACCGGTCGCCAGGGGATGCTCACTCCTCCATGGCACCATCCCGCCTCTGATGTTTTTTGAGGCCTGTGTTTGCTCTGCTCCTGATTTGAATTGTTTAAGGGGACTATGAGCTTGAATACTGTTCGTTATCTTCATATTTCATGAAACATTCCTATATCATGTTGATTCAAGTCTGTCAGAATTTTGGACACTTGAGAAGTGATCGATGTAGTTAAAATGGGGGATCGACTTTTACATAAAACATGTACTCTGCTCAATTGACATAAGTGTCCTGTTCGGGACTTTCACCTGCAGTTGTTTTTTGTTTTGTTTCTGGTCTTACGCAAGTGAAATACAGTATGTTTGAAGAGATGTAAAGAAAACTAATAAACAGGACTTTTTTAAAGAGCTTTACCATACCCATGAGATATAAAATGAACATACTTCTTTTCTTGCTTTAACAAGAATTAACGGCGGAGGAAATCAAGAATCAAAACGGAGCACGTCTGATGTCGAAGACATTTATACAACAAAAACCATATCGTAAAAAAGGCTATGTTTTTGAAACTGGTAATCTCACTAACAGAGAGCGAGAATACTTGAAAAGCATTCATGAGAAGGTAAATTTATATCTCTGAATGTACGCCAATAGTATCGTAAAATGTAATTAATGCACTTATCCTGTACAAGACAAGTTTCAATTAGAAAATCAGTTTTCACTTTTTAATTACATGATTTGCTCGTTCCTTTGGTTGCAAAATGTATAGGACTATAACATTTCAGCTTTTGTAAATTATTTTTTTATTATTCATAAGAAAGAAATTAGGGATGTCAACGAGTATTCGATTACTCGAGTATCGTTCGGTCATACCGAATATCGACTAAAGATTCTTTACTCGGTAACTCGTTAAAAACGTGCTATTTACAGTAATCTTAAATTCAAAGAAATAAATTTGGATTCACCTCATCTTTCAAACATCGGTGTTTTCGTGACTAAAACTCATAGGGTAAGGCATAAACCATTCCTACTTCATTAATTATAGTAAGGAAATCATTTTCACGTTGATTTTTAGTCGTCAAACACATATACATGTATGTACACGTAATGCGTGTGTAATTTACAGATGTTTTTCCATGTTTCATACAGAGTGTTTCAAAATATACATGTTACATTTTTAAATCTGATTATTTTTCTTACCTATCATAATTCTACTACAAACTATATATCATTTTAAACATAAAATCCTGCATTTTTATTCCATGTGAAAAGGTCAAGGAAATCATGGTATCACGATGATTAATTGTGACATAAATGCCGATGTCATAATTTGAATATTTTTCTAAAGTGGAGACTTAGATAGTTTAGCAAACTCCTGAGAAAAGCGTCAGATAGATGTTTTCAGAAATTGATGCTGGTAATATCAGCATTCCCAGCATATATTGAACTTTGAAATATAATATGAAGTTATCAGAGTACAATTTTTCAATAATGCAATTCCCTAAGAAAAGGGTTTGGCCTCTGCTTTCGCCAATCTCAATCTTTGGGTTTTTTTTTCTGTAGCGGTTGTTTAGGAACAGGGTCTACAATCCTAGGCCACAGATATTGAATGAGCTCTAAAGAAATATAAACCTTCAAATGAAAAGTGTCTAAGCAAAATATATGTGACAAAGTTATACAAATTTTGAGAAGCAACTTTCATTTGTAGTTGATATAGTGGAGATGATTAAGAACATGTAATGTGGGCTTTTGACGTTGTGAAATTCAACGTAGCAAAAATGACGTAATTTAGAAATTTCACTAATTTTCATTAATGTTTGAGATTTCGTCCAGTGTGGAATATTTTAGTCGGTAATTGAACATAATGAATCTTATAGATACATGCATCAAGTAGATAAAAACACTTGTCTATATCTTTTTTCTTGTGTTTGTGAAATTAAAGATTCAAAATGTAACATATATTATGAAACACCCCGTATGAATCCAATTTGTCGTTGTATTGCTTGTTTATACAGCATTTCATAATTTTAACATTTATCGCAATCTTTCTATGTTTTGATAGGAAGTACACTAAAAATTTTACCAGTTATGTTACAGACTTAGCTGGAACTGGGCATGTAAAAAGGTCTCAGGTGATAGATCAATCACGTGTTATTAGAGAGGACATGCGAAAGTACTTGAAAAACTTATTTAGACAACATATGCGATTAAAAATAAAAAAAATTGAAATTAATTACAATAAGTTTAAATAATTATTTCTAATTCAATGTTGATAATAAAATACTAAGAGTGTGATGGTAGCGTACATGGAATATATTGCATCAGTCTCTAAATCCAAAGCCTGGCATCGCAATATATATATATATATATATATATATATATATATATATATATATATATATATATATATATATATATATATATTAATGAGTACCCGACCATGCATCGTTCGACTAAAGCACCCGATTATTCGACTTGCCTATCCAAGTGAAATTGACATCCCTAAAAGATATCATTTTGCTCGTAATTTATTTTTGGCACTTTTGCAATCAGAACGGTACTACATGTAATTCCAACACAGATTGATTAATTTATCATGAAACTTTGTTATAACTAGTGTGTAATTTCAACAAAAACTGCATTCTTTGTTGATTTTCATTACTACTGAACCTGGTATATAAGTTACAATTTTATACATTTCTCTATTTTCTTTTATCTTCACTTATTTGTTTTACAACTCCTTGACAATATTTTGTAGGAAGTGACGTCATTTCCAATTGCTTCATATTAACAGAACCTATCAAACACTAAGCTGAAAATGCCAAGATCATGTATTTATATTTTGTCATCGATTTTATTTTTTTTTAATAGTGTGAACAACAATTTGAGGCGGCTGCAACATTGGTGTCAAGCCAGTGTCTTCTGAAGTTCTACAAGATCTTTGCTTTAACTAAATTAACTCACGCTGCAGCCGTACTCCTAGGTGCTATCGCTGTGTCCTCTACAATGACGCTTCAATACATGGCTGTACTAGTCAGTAGAGATAACAGAAACATGTCCAAAGCAACGTTCCCCTTCGCACTTTTTCTTGGATTTGCCCTATACATTTTTTTTGTCCTTGGAACAATCGTCTCACGAAGAAAGGTCAGAATCTTTCTTAAAAGCTATTTTACATGTTAAAAAATTGTATGAAGTTGTATATATGCATACCTGATCGATCAAATGTTTAATCATTTTAATTTTTTTTTTTATATAACAACTGCAGATGAAAGCCAACGTACAAAACAAATTATGGCATTTTGTGAACAAAAAGTATTTTCGGGAAACAAAATGTTTGATTGTGTATGAAGATTCCAGTGTTCATCAGCCATCAGTATCCTCTGAAATTATGATTCATTTTACTTCTTAATTTTACAGAATTGTACCAGTTTCGCAAATCACAGAAACTGTTGACATATTGCAGCTTTTATCCCAAGCTAAAAATCTATAACTTTACTCTTTTAGACTCTATGAGGAATCATTTAGTTTTATTTATCTATATTTTTTTTGGATATATTTGTAAAAATATTCTTTAAAAAAGTTTCATCATTTCGCTAATTAAAAAAAAAATCCAAAAAGTGTACCTTAACTAAACATTTCAGTTGATGTTAATTCGCTACAATACAGCGCCATGCCAGGTATAATTAATATCTCTTTAAGAAAAAAAAACTTTTTATATAATTGTATAAGCTCATATATGTACAAAAAAAAATCACGTTAGGTAGCCGTGATTTGTTTTCCTTTTTTAGGAATATGTGAATATTCTTCTTAACAAAAAAGAATTCCATTTGGATCAGGACGAACTTAAGGTATTTTGAGAAGCCTGTTTACATCTGATTCGTTAAAAATTACTTTTACATAGCTCTGTTTGCTGTTCTTTTGACCAGGCAGTATAAATCTGCGATGCAAGTTTTTTTTTCTGTCTAAATCTCTGAATAATTTTAAATGATACAGTAAATGAACCTCTGTGAAGTACGATGTTTTCCTTACTGAAATATTGTTTTACTGTAACTGATGAAGTTAGAATTGCTGAAAAATATTATTCCTTTTAAGAATGTGGCTGCGGCGAAAATTGAAGAAAAATTGGAACAGTTGCAGTGCTTAGGACTTTTGGCGGAATGGTTCCAGCTAGGTGTATACGATTATAACCGCCATAATACCTGGCTTAGAAAGCAATGTCTCTGTCAATTATTGGAGGGAAATCTCATTCAAAGGAAAGTGATTACAGTGTGAAACAACATCTTTTGATCATGTTGGATACGTTGACCTGACATTTGACATATGTTTCTCGACTTTCAATCGCCTTTTCCAATTAATTCTGAATTTAAAAAAAATTTTCGTATCGTAACATTTTTTTCCCATTTTAAAAGTATCGATGTGTTAAAAAAGAGAACTCATTATCTACGAGGATAATGAACATATCAAAATGATACCGTTTTAACAGCATGAATTTGTCATATGATAATATTTGATGATTATTATCCGCATTATTCAATTTATCATAATACTTTTTTTATTGTCGAACGGAGTCCGGCGAAATATTGTTATTATTTTGTCTGCATACGTTCGCAAAAATTGCTAAATGACAATCTTAATGAAACTTCTGAGTATTTAATAATCACCAAGTCTAGTTGAGCATTCAGAATTTAAAATTTCAAAATGGTCACTGTTGGCTGAAAACAGGAAATATGAAAGGTTTTAATATAATTTTTTTCTATTGGCCCACCTACATGTTTTAAACATTAAATGAAATTTTCAGTCAAATTGATTTATGCAAAGAAATAGAATCGGTTAAATTGGACAAACTTTTTAACTGTTGCCGTAAGAATAAGAAAGGGGAAATTTTCTTTTGTAATTTCATTTTTTTTCTCTGTCTCTATAGGTATTTCATACGGCATAATATTGATGAGTAAGTGTCTCTTCAGGTTTCTTAATTATAAAATTTCCAAAATGGCTGCCCTTGAAAGAAAAAATTGCTAAATTTATTAAATAAATTTTTAAAATAGTAGTGATTAATCTGCTTTCAGCTCCAATATGGCACCGCGGAGGTCATTTCGGGGTGATATATATTACTGCTTGCAATTATAGAAATTATTTTTATTGTTTTATCACTTCAGGGTAGATAAATTAATATAACAACCAGGTACGGATCCAGGAATTTTTTCAAGGGGGGGGGGGGGTCTTACCCCAGTGAAAAAAATTCCTACCCAGAAATTTCTTGACAAGCAAAAAAAAAAAAAGGGTGGGGGAACCTAAATTCCCTTCCCAAACGTATTAAACCCAGAAATTTTCTTGACAAGATAAAACAAAAAAAAAAAAAACAAAACCAAAACAAAAAAAAAAACTTAAAATCCATTTCCCAAGGGTGTAAAAATTTCGTGGTGGTGATATTGGGGTCTCTGTTTTCGGAAGAGGGGGATTCCAAAGTCATTTTTACTTGCTTCAGTACATACTTTTAATAACTCTGCAAATCCTAGGGGTTCGGAACCCCCCCCCCCACGACCCCCCCTCCCCTCCCTTCTTGATCCGCGCATGACAACTAATGACAACGAAACTTGTTATTCAAGGAGGGGGTCTAGAACACCCACCCCTTTTCCTAGATACGACTAAGTGAATATTCCTCTTGCCTCATATTTTAACTACAGCAAGATTATTCTCCCAAAAAGTGCAGTGGGGGTAGAGGTCTCCCCACTCGTACTAGCGGCCTGTTTTAAAAGGTGTTATAGCGAAAACTGGAGAGGCTTTTTTTTATTATTTTATGAATAACTGAATCTATTTTTATTCATGCAATATCTAAAATATTTTCCATACTCCTGCACATCTTGCAGACAATTGTTTGCATGAGTATTAAAAGAGCTCAACACTCTACTTGTGAATATCCAGGATTTAGGCAGATGCAGCTTAGAGCTTTGCTGCTCATGTATTAAAAATTAATTTCAAATTTGAAAATCTTTTTCTTTCCTCTTGGAGAAAAGCAGGCAAACAATTTACATGGATATAATGAGCAATTAGCCTTCAACCAAAATTGTGAAATCCATGACCCTTGGTAAAAGTGTTTGGCATCAGAGAACTAAGCTGGATAAACATTGAAAATATATTACGCATATAAAAATCTCTTTTTTTTCTGGATATCTAACTACAATCTGTTTAATTTTTTTTTTTTTTTTTTTTTAATAGAAATTAGCCCTATAATAAATTGTGAAATTCATGTCCCGAGGGTCAGCATTTAAGTTAGTCATATATTGAAAATAAAAGGCTTAACATCGTCTCTTGACGCCTTTTTGAAAAGCGTAATAACGCCTTATGAAAGGGAGTAATATAACGCCTTTTTGAAAGGCGTAATAATGCCTTTTAAAAAGGCGTAATTACGCCTTTTTTCGTATTATTATGCCTTTATTGGGGTTATAACACCTTTTAGAAAGGCGGAATAACGCCTTTCTAAAAGGCATTATAACGCAAACTGAAATTTAGGCGTTATTTGGCCTTTATTGGCCATATAACACCTTTTCGTTCGTTATTTCGTTATTTATTCGTTATTTCGACTTTTTCGCGTTATTACGCCTTTTTTCGCTTTAACACGCCTTTTAAAAAGGTGTTATTATTTATTATATTTTTTTCACTGTTAGATTGATCCTAGTAGGCTTTCATATTTTACAATATCTGCCAGTTTCAAAAAAATAGTGAGTGTGCAGTTATTCTTAATTTTGTTAGCTGTGATCTTTCACACCCTTTCAAAGGAAATTAGAAGTAATCATGCAATTTGTAATTTAATTGTATTCAGTGCAATTTAAGATTTTTACTATAGATATAAAGTTTTCCCAAGTTAGATAATGAGATTTTGCTCCATTGTTCATAGATTGTTCATACATGTAGATCATGTTAACGAAAGTTTTATTTAATTTAAGGGAGCCGACTGGCGTTTTATTGTGTGAAAACTACTACGGAGAGACTCTTTAATTTCATACAATATGTACCTTACATTGACTTCAGTATACATGCCAATTTTAGCGAAAATCTACCGTCTGGGTATTTTTATGGACCATCTCAAAATACAGATACATTTACTATAGGATTATATAGGAAATACCATTTTTTCGCACTTTGGAGCAAATAATACAAATGCTACAGTAAATAACTATAGACTTTTTGCTCAAATTATATTATTTGATGAGTAATACTATATTGTACATTTTATGCAAGAAACACAAAATTCTACCGTCTGGTTTCCAGAGGGGACATCTCAAAATGTCAAAATTCATGATATTTTCCTGTTTTTATGGAGTACTACAAAACATGACAGATACCACATATTTACATAAAAAATAATAAAAATGATTGTGATTTTCTCAATTTCCTATGTTTAAAATTTCAAGAGCATCTATACTTTTTTTAATGACATAATTAATGACCCCTCTGAAAGAACTTCGGTTATTCATAACGTTAAAACACACTATAACGACGTCTACCTATATACCCATCATTTGAAAAATCGTTTTAAAAATCAGTTATTTAAAAACGTAATTAGAATTTTTAACCTGAGATTTCCTAAATTTATTAATTTTTATAAACTTTGTTTATAGTTGCTTTAAAAGAGTAAATACACTTTATTTTACTATGCTGCGCGAAGTATTGTGCAATGAAAACCCCAGTCGGCCCCCTTAAAATTAAATTCCTTATGTGAATTTTTTAAGAAGTCAAGTAAAGTTTTTGTTGAAGATGAAATTCTTTTTCAGAGCTAACTCTTTGTCTCATATATATATATATATATATATATATATATATATATATATATATATATATATAATATCAAATTTATAGTCTGTAATCCATATTTCAAATGAACCATATGTTATAATTATTGCAATCATTCACTTGTTTATGTAAGTATTTCCATTTGATGTAAATTTTTATGCAAGTCCTAATTTAATATATATTGAACTGTTATAGGTACAATGTAAACAATGTTATGCTTATTATAAAAAAGAAACATATATTTCTTTCATTAGCATAAAATAAATATACACTATTTGTGCTTATGTTTTAAGGAATGTTTTGAGTTTCAAGTGCCTGTGGTGAAAAGCTGTAAAGTACTGTGAACGATAGTATTGTTCTCCCGCCTACATGTACCTCCAAGTCAATTTTTAAAAGTTAACATATTTGAATGATTTTTTTTTTATATTTATAAAGATATTTATATGAATTTTCATAAAACATTATTTATTTGGGAAAAAACAAAGAGAGAAAACTTTTTAATAATTCTGGTAAAACTTGCGTTTTTCACTATATAGAAATCAACGGAAAACGGAAAATATTTTAAAGACATCTTCCCCTCCCCCCCTCCCCCTCCTCCCCCCCCCCCCCGTGAAACCAAAATTCCTTTTAACAAGTAATATAGACTGTCATTTCACAAATTCATACCAAAACTTTTTGTGTTTCAAGGGGGGAACATATGTTTACAGACAAAAATCGACAAAAATCCCTTTTTTCCCTAATTTCAAAGGGGTTTACAACTAGAACATTGTATTTTATTATTGATATATATGTTTAATTTTATATGCGTAAAACATAAAAAAGAGTTAAGAACATTACATCAAAGAATATTTTAAAATGTGGTGATGGTTTAAAGCCCGATTTCAATGGAAAATATCGATCGTCTACCACCCTTATTGAAAGAGCTGGGATTAGGGGTAAATAACTATTTATCACTGGTATTAAACTTATTAATTAATTACCATTAAACTGTTGAACAGTTCTTTGCATTCAAGAAAGATTTTATGGCCAAATTGCCATTAATATTGAATTATATGGGTGTGAAATGTAGGCAGGAATCGAGAGTAAGCGTACGTAGTTCTTGATCACATTCTCATCATATAGTGTAATATTTTTCCCAAGCCAAAAATAAAACTGTATTTTAAAAAAAAGCGCCAAATCGACAGTCTGTTCTAACCCTGCGGGTTGTTCATGCATCAATGATCTTTAAGTCTGCGATTGCGAGTCTGGGTTTCTTTGTTTACATATAAAGGGAGTTTTCCCGCAGTGTGTTCACATATTTGGCGGACAAAGGCATTTGGTAAGATTGTACGATTACGTTGTTATATTTGAGGTATGTATAATTTTGATGATGTTTGCATTCATCGTCGGAAGGTTTTCGGTCTCGGTTACAGTACCATCAACGATAAATCAGAGACGTATAGATCTACTAATAGTAGGCCTACAGTGTATATACATCCCTTGTTGAATGTGTGTAAGTGTAACGGAGAGAAAACCGTGGGTTCCGGCGATGTGATATATGATGTAG